AAACGAGGGCCCGAAAGCGGGGTCCGGAAAGCTACTGAAGGAAGGCCGCCCGCTGGCTCTCACCATGGGCTACTTCATTCTGTGACCGTGAGTTCCTGAACAAGCAGTGACCCGGACGACAGCTATGGGTAGAAAGAGTCTTCAAATGCAGACTCCTGATGGCTCGCCGTTGCTTCAAGATTCAACGGTTAACTGTGACAGAAAGGCCTGGCTTCAATTAAAGACTTTGACTTCCAGTAAGTGTCTTGGTATGTCTTGGTCCTCTCCAGGTGCACGAGACTCGGGCAGATTAGAGCCGGGTCCTTGGCCCAGGAGAGCCACTGAAGGAAGGCCAACAACTCTGCAGAGCCGGTGGAGAAGCTGCTTTCATGCTGGAGAGCAAAGCGCTCCTGACACAAGGTGCTTGCCAAAGCTCACCGTGAACTCCCACCCAATTCCCTTGACGTTTCCGAGATATGATCCGAGCTATGGTTGTGCAAGAGCAAGCCTGGAGCGACTAACAAGCTTTCTTTACGGCATCATGCATGAGGTGGAAAACACGCGGTCTCCAGGATCACGGCAATGTTGTCCAGCACATGCGCGGGGCTGCACGACCTACAACTTCCAACGGCCAATCACTACCACACTGTTGACCTTGTTTTGAAGGCGTCGTGTGAGATTCTCTCAGTTCCTGCCGTGCTGCCACTTTACTGCCGCACCTGTTCGTTGCCGCTGCAAGTACCCCGGCAGTGTGGACGAGCAAGCCGCACACACCTCACAAAGAGGGTGAGCTAGCAACGGTTGCTGGAATTGCTGGTGAGATATGGCACCAAAACAAGTGCAGGGCGTTGCAGCGACAGCACAAGGCTTGGCTTGGCCATCTCCTGAGTAAAGGAAGCTCGGGACGTGCCTCTGTCCGTACATCTGTGCATGGCACCTCGCTCGCGCACAGACTCTCGCCAATCTGCGGAGTTGACAGAAGAAGCGCGAGCAATTCCTCGCGAGCATCTCACAATTTATTCCAACTGTGCTCTGCGCTTGGGTCAGCCTGGCGACAGCGCAGCGACTGCTCGACTGTTGCCAGGGAGATCGCATCCAAGCCTGAGCACCTTAGCACTGCTGCAGGTCTGTACGGCCGTTGGACGTGTCATAGCGCACGGCTTCCACCAACGCAGATCAAGACACATCAAATTGACCATGTTGGCAACCTCACGACTTCCGCAGCCACAAGCAGACATGTTTGGCTGGGATTCCACTCTCCAGTGCCTGCAATGGCTCAGACATGCGAAGCGGAGACAAAACCTGACAATGGCAGTTGACCTGTCCTACTGACTGGCCGACAAGCAGTCAACACAACCTGGCGCGCCTGGAAAATTTCTGGTCTGAGTAAGCTTGCCTTACAGTCCGTGTGAAGGCTCCGGAACGGAGGAAGGTTGCTCGTGCAAAGAAGCTCTGTCGCACTGAGGCCACGACAATTGTTACACCTGAATTGATCCCGAGCCTTGGCGGCAAAAACAAGCCCTCTGACTGAAAGCTTGTCGTCTGAACAGGCCAGTTGCAATGAGTGCATTGCTTGATTTGCTGTGTAACTTTTGGCAACTAAGGGCTCTGCGCCTTGTATTCAGGGCCGGGTGAAAAGATTGCCTGACGCACAGTTGCACGAAGCTCATCCGAAGCGCTTGGGACGAAGCACGCCATCAGCTCACACAGCACTTGCCGGCGATGCGCCTTTTGAATCGTCAAGAGCAGCTTCGCTGCATCCATGAATCTTTGGCAGGCCAGAAGTGCGGCCACAACCTTCCTGACAACGGCCGTCCAAGCGGCAGATCTTGTGAGGTTGCTGGAAGATCGCATCACGTGCGTTGAGATATCCTTTAGCAGTACAATCCCATGCGTCCCACTCGTGAAGGAGTAGGGAGCATCAGAGCCCCTTATGCTTCCCAGTGCAACAGCTCAAAACACAAGAGGAGTTGAGTCTGGAAAGCGGATGGATTCATGCCGGATCTGCACGGATCCAGGCTGAGCGATCCCAACGGCTGCTTGATCAGCTTTGCTTCTGGAACCCTAAAATTTCTCCGGAGAGCTCCACTCCTCTCGTTTCAGGCAAGGGGCCTTACCAGAGCCAACAGGCCGGTCCGCGTGACATCTTTGGGTGCATGAGACTCCTCCACTGCGAGGATTTGGAAAATGTTGCCTCGGGTTATCATCTGCGTCACGCTGCAAAACACCACTCTCAGTCTTGCTGGATACCTCGTGTTAGTGAGGTTAGCGCCGCACTCGAAACACTGGACTCTAAATCATTGATTCACTTTGCCAGTTCTGCCCAGGCACAGCCCTCTGTTTGAAGACCGGAATAATGCAGCATCTCCAGCAGCCGCGACAGCCTGGCCTCGTCTTGCTTTCTCCTTGCACAGAGCGAGACGGGGCAGGCAGGACGTTTGAGCAACTCTCTTGGCTTATTGTGGCACAGCTCAACTCGGAATGCGCCCTGCATGCGCCTGAAGAACAAGGCGAACAGCCGCATCAGCGGCACAAGCCTACTTTCAAGCAGCAAGCACGACTCCGTCCGCGTTCCATCAGGACCTCACTGGGGCACAGACGCGTGAAAGACGAACTTTGCCTTTTGCGGTGGTGGCATGAGGCCACTGACCTGGGCATGTGCCCTCACAGAGGAGCAAAACTTGGCAACTGTTTCCCCACCTTACTGATGTCGGCACAACGTTTGTCGAAAACCTGGCGTCGACGGCATTTCGCACACAGGTAGATGAATCTATGAGGACAAGGGCCTGTCGTTTTTCTGCTCCTTGGAGCTCTCGACATCGATGGCCGCGATAAACAGCCTGACGAAGCAGCAATGCCCGTATGTCAAGATGAACTACAGGTGGCGGCGCTACCGCTTACGGCTTGCAGCAGCACCTGGATCTTTTTGGAAGCTGCTTCCCGTATCCTGTCCCGGATGCTCAAACGATTGGGTGAAGATTTGAAGGGATGACAGAAATTTATCGCTATGGGCACGATGAACAGCTGCTGGCTACCACGGAGTTTGCAGACATGGCAGCAGTACAAGTAGATGTCAGGATGCTCGATGCCGTCATTCGATGGCAATAAGATTGAGATGACTCGACTGCTCCGGCCTCCTGCGCTCCCGAGCTTCGCGCTCCTGATGCTGGCCTTCACTTACATTTGGCAGCGATGGGAATGACACAATTTACCACATCCGAGTGAGCCGACGCTTGACAAAGTCGGAACGGCTTTCTTCGGCAGCGGGGCGAGCACCTTTCCTCCCACCTGCGGTCTCAGACAACTCATGAAGGCCCTTCACGATGCTTCATGCATGTGCAAGTGCCTCTGCCACCTAGATTTACGCGGCTATTTCCGCTCACCTGCCGCATCAAATCAAGTGAAATAGGCGTCACGTGATGCGATGAGCCCGGTGAGGGGCACCTTTCCGTCAAAGTCAAACATCGCAGAGGTCGGTGGAAACCAAGGCGAATGAAAGCGAATTCAGTGGTACCAGGCTGCCCCAGAACCTGTGTAGATCTGAGATGCTACGACTACGACTATAGGACTCTAGGCGGTCAAGATCCACTGCTTTGTCGGAGACATCTTGAGCTAGTTGGCTACACAATTGAACCAGACCCTCTCGCGGATCTACAGCGTCTTGCATGCCATTTCAGCTGCATACCTGGCCGAAAAGGCAGCGGGAAAGTGTCTCCTGAAGTCGATTGACCACCAATTCAACAGGCCAAAAGCATCCGAACCGATGTTGCCTACGGAATTTGTTGTGCACTCTCGCCACGAGCGCTACTGTACACAGCACTGCGATGTAATTTGATCGGCCATCACGCTTGGATGACCACAACGATGCAGAAGCTCAGTCCGAATTATGGGCAGCCTGGTCCGCAGACCAAGCCGTGCATGCACAAGCAGTCAGGACCTCGCACTCTGGAACAAGGCTTGTTTGAGGGTTGGTGGTCTGCGCCAGGACGAAGGGGTGGAGCGTCAGAAACGCACTCGCTTCGAGCGACAGTTCGTCCGTGCAGTCTTGAAATCGACACAGCAGACCTCCGCAAATGAATCGTTTTTATCAGAGCACCGTATAACGTTTAAACTCCCCAGAACATGTCAGACGTTTTTGCATTTTCCATTCGTCCCGCTACAGCAGAGATTTCCCCTAAAAGATAGCCCAACAGATCCTGATGAATACCTTCTGGCTAAGATCTGGGCCACGCTCCTTCGAGGACGAGGTCAGCCGCCGTCGTGGCTTCTGGCAGGCGCGTGTTGCCAAATTTAACGTGGCTCGTGACCACATCTGACAACAAACATCTCGGTCAAGGCAGCTGCAGTGAACGGCGACACTTGGGTAGTGTCATTTTCCCTCCTACCTAGCAAGGACAAAGCCCGCATTGCAAAGTAACCTCGAAGAACAGTTGAAAGCAGCTTCACTCAGGGAAGCTCTTTTGTCACTCCCGGGTCTCAAACGACTTGTTAGTTTGGTCTCGAGAGTTTGGACTCAGTACAAGTCACACGGTCCAGACGGCATCTTAGATGCATGTCTCAGAAAAGGCTCCCCTTTGGCTCACGTGTGCACGACTGCAGCTTTTGGAGCTTCTGCTTCCCTGTTGCTTTTGCTGCAAACCTCTTTCATTAACAGTCGCGGCGACCAATTCAGAATTTGCGACATGCCATGCAGAACCACTATGTCTCAAGTTTCATACCAGAGCATCTGGCTTGAATGTAGTTCTCCCCAGTCCGGGTCATCTACCATAGCTCAATTTCAGCAAACAGCGCGCCAAGAAAACTCTCTCAAGGCATACAACTTGGTGTTGATTGTTGCGAAAGGGCCACGATTCCTCTCTCGTCAGGCCAGGCAGTCCAGGTGTAGAAGTGTCCACTTCCACTTATCCACGAGTCGTGCTCAGGAAAAACACAGCACTGCAGTAACCAGGTAGAGGTCGGTGGCATTGTTTGCCATGCGTGTTCAGGCACTAAAGAGAAAAAACATACTCCAGGTTGTGCCTTCAACGCGATGGCGGCCGAGGTTTGAAAGGAGCACCTGGCGGTTGCACGTTGGACCAAGAGTAAGTGAAGTGAGGATCAATCGCCTTTTCTGATTTTTCACCGTGCGCAAGGCATCGCAACGCGGGGTCGCTTCAGTGGTGAACGGACGGAAACCCCAGCCTTGCCCACGCCGGAGGGGGAAGCATCCCGCTTTCGAAGGGGTGTTGATCTTGTCTAAGCCTCAACACGCACAAACACACACACACACACACACACACGCCACAGACACCTCACTGTGGGCGCGATGCATGCTGCATCATGCTGCAGAACTATGTGCAGACGCTGCCGGGCCAAGAGCGATTTTGACACGAAGGTGTGGTTGCTTGGCACAAATTCAGATCAGCCCTGAGCTGGAGGTCACAGCCGCCTGTTCCCCGAGTGACTCACAGAAACGTGAAGAATCCTCGGCTCAGACCCGAAGCTCCAAGAGACTCCATGAGCCGTCCGTCATCGTCATGTCTGCAAACAAGCGGCCCATGGCGGTGACAACACCTGAACGAAGCAGGCGCGAACGGACAGGTAATAATCTGTGTTCCGTGTTGAGAGCTGCTGAAGGTAAAAAACGTGTTGGTTGGCCGGTTGGTTGGTTGGGTTTGGTTGCTTGATTGTTGGGTTGGGTTTGGCTGCAGGTTGGTTGGGTTTGGTCGGGTTTGGCTGGGGGGTTGGTTGGGTTTGTTCGAGGTTGGTTGGGGTTGGTTCGTTTCGTTTGGCTTGCTTTTTGGTTGTTGGCTCTGGATGGTTAGGTTGGTTTTGGATGGTTCACTTTGGTTGGTTGGTTGGTTGGTTGGTTGGTTGGCTGGCTGGCTGGCTGGCTGGCTGGCTGGCTGCCCTGAACAAGCGAAGAAAGTCTTAAGTCCTTCTGACTTCTGCCTGGAGCAATTGGAGCACGAGCATGTCCAGTGGGCACCCAAGTAGGGAGCAACTCCTGCGCGCAGCTCTTCACCTGTCTGAATTGCGCGCAGGATTGGGAAGTTCTGGACTACGCACACCGTCACACGATGGCTGCACCTCAGTAGGATCGGAAGAGATTGCTGCAGCGTCTGCACGGACCTCCGCCAGGACCTCAATCAGTTCGAAAACAAGCTTGGAGAAGCAAAGCGTCAGTCGCTGCACAGCCAAGCGTTGGACTTCCTCCATCTTCAACTCGGCAGCACAGCGGTCTTCGGACCAGTTGTGATGACAATAAGCTGCAGATTCCTCCCAGAATCTCCTTACACGAGAACATCTTCAGAGTGCCCAGACCTTCCCAAACAGACGTATGTCAAGGGACTTGAAAGCAGGCCGCCACGGCTGTGCAACGGAAAGCTCACAGTAGCCGGGCGGATCAGAACCTAAGAGCATGTCAAAGGCTTCAACAGCTAGTCAACCGTTCGAGGTTCAGCAGAATCAGACAGGACGGAACCGACTTGAAGATCGGCTTGGCACTGCACCTTCCCACCACTGCTTGCAAACACAAGCGCCGAAAGAGGTGTCCTCGGCTGAAGAGGAATTGAGCGTGATGGAAGAGGCGTGACCGATCGCCATCGCCATTCACCGAGCTGCAGAGCGTGGACAGTCAGCGTCTACTCGGCACCCACGCCCTTGCGTTCTCAGATCTGCAAGCTTTCTGGATGGTCGAGTCCGGCGGACATACGTGGCACTGGAAGGCTGGGGGTCCGACCGCTCACGCGAGGTTTTCCATCTTCCAGCTCAATCTCCGGGAGCTCGGCACACTCCTAGGAATAGACACGAGTTTCTGCGCCGAGTGCGGGAGGAGGGTGTGTCCTGTCTGCGGAGGTCCGCGTAATTCGTCATGCAAAGCTGTCCGGAGCTGCTCCGGGAGCGCGTCGCCAAGCTGTACTCCTGCAGTTCCAAACCCGCTGGAAGCCCAGTCAGATTGCTATGGCAACCCTGAACACTGTCGGCCCTGTCCCGAACGCACCGTGGCGTCTCCAGCGCAAGGTTGCAGCCAAAGCCGCTCAGGCATTCGTTGCCGTGCAAGCCAGAGCAGGAATGACCTCCAGAGTGGCACGCAGCATGGCATGGCCTGGAACCCTCCGCGGCCTGAGGGAAGTTGCGGTGTGCAGACCCCAAGGAAACCTGGACAAGTCAGGACGTTCAGGCTTAGATAGTTCTTGACTGCGACTGGCTGCAGCCGTTTTGCAGTACCAGCCCATGTTGCAGTCGATGTCTCGCCCGTCAGTTCTTGCCTTGGAGTCTGCTGGAGTCTCAAGAGGCTCAAGAGAGGGATTGATTGAGCTCGCTCGGTGCCAGACACTGCAAGGAGACCCGGAGCTCAAGCCGAGGCAGCGCCCGCGAAAGCAAACCCGAGAGCCCGTCACCTCAGCCAAGAAAAAGGCCACCTTTCACAACTCTCACAAGGTCTCAGAAGTCTGCCCTCTGTCGCTGCCGAAGATCGCAAAGGTCATTTGGGTTGGCCGCATCGCAAACTTGGTGCGTAAGCAGCGCTCGTCGGCAAACCCTTTGCAAGCACCTCGCTGCCACAGATCTAGAATCTAGACTTCGCTCCTCTGCATCCGATCTGACACCGTGCCTCGAAAAGGGGCCTTCGCAGTCTTCATCATAGTAGCATTCCGCACCTGCATTTTCTGAGAATGCATACAGTCGTTGCAAAGAAGCCTGCATGCCTCTGTTGCAATCAGCATCTGGCGAGCCTGGCGGCCGCTTCAGCACGGGATCAGCTTGACAGCGACTCTCACCTCAACAAAGACAGCTACACAACACAATGCGGCCTCCTCCACACATGCATGCTTGAGGCACAGGCATGGAAGAGTGGCAAAGCAAGTCCTTAGGAAAGGTTCTATCCTTGCACAACAACACCCCGTGCAAGGGAAAAAGGCGCAAGTGTGCAGACGAGCGGCGAACAGTAAGGGGTATTCGACGGGCATTCACCGAATGACTGTGCTCCAAGTGTCTGAGTCACTTCTGTTTTCCTTGGCTGCAACGTCTCAGCCCATGGCTGATGTAGGATCTGATCGACAGTCGCATGGGTGCGACTGAAACTCTTGTAGCATATGGGAGGATCTTGAGTCGAGTCCTCCGACAGACAGCTGCGCACCTCGCATTGGATGTCCTGGTCTAGTCCGGCAGTCTCGCACATCGCATGAGAGGCTTTACAGAGCTGCAATGTCCTGGCCTGCGCAGTGCTTGGCAAGAGGAGGAGAGCCAATCCCGCCCCTGCGAAGGCAACCATCTGCTCGCGGCCATGGTGGCCATGGCGGCTGGTGGCAGTGGAGGTTTCAAGGCCACAGCTGCCTTGGGGCCTTGCTGAGTCTCCGAATGTCGTGGGTAGATACATGCACGCAGTTATTAGCTAAGGCAGTGCGACTCGAGAACAGCCTTAGGCCAGCTTTGGACCCAGTTGTGCGGCTGACAGGGCGACAAGTGCATGTCTCGTCGAAAGGCCACTGCAATCCACAGTCTGAGGACGGAGCGCTCCTGCAGCTTCCGCGTGCTGTCTCTTCGCAGCTTGTACACCCTGGCAGGCTGCCCAGTCCCGACGATGGGATCACATGTCGTAGCTTGCCCTGACATGAATGGAAGCTCTTTTCCGAAGCACATCTGGAGTACACGTGGAGTCTACCAGCAGCAGCAGAAAAAACTCTCTGCTGCTGTTCAATGCCTTCACAGTTTTTGACCAACAGTCGTGTTGTGAGGCGCGATCTTCTGCTCTCACCAGGATCTTGAGCTTCGCAACTGCCGGTTGCCTTGACGGCCATGCCCTGGTCTGTGCATGTCTATGCATGCTTGAAGGCGATATCCGGCTTGCACGCGTAGTGGTCGGAATGTGCGCGCGATTGAACCGACGACGAGCCGACGTGTTTTCAAGACTCCGAGCACAGGGCCTGCGATGGACACCGAGACTCGCTGCCCCGCTGGCCTCGCACCACAGCCTCGACCAAGCGAAGGTCCCGAAGAGCAGCTTCCGGGGAAGTCTTCTTAGAAGGACGCAAGTCAAGAAGCGAATCGGCCACTTCGCGAAGTGCATAGGCGACGCTAGGACCTGCAAGTCCGCTGGTGCTCTGCACCAAGCGTCCGGACATGTCTCTGAGTTCCACCTTTGCTCTGGAGACACTGAGCGTTCCGTTCGTCCCAGTAATCCGCAGATCCAAATCTGATAATCCAGAGATCTCGCTTGGGGCAAATCTTGGGGCACTCAGGGAGAAGAGCCAGACTCCCGGTATCGCTTGAAGAGACCCGGCTCGCAGGGATGTTGCAAATGTATCGAAGGGCAGAATGTCTGGCCTCACGCGCCGCGTGACAACTCCCTCGACATCTATGTCACCCAAGAGAAGATGCATTGCAGCGGCAAAGTGCACAGCTACATCCGCAAGCCAGTTGGAACCTTCTTGCATTCGCCAGGAATGAAGATGCATGTAAGGCAGGTCGTCAGGCATATAGGTCACTGAACTAGCGGAGAAAGCAAGGATCTGTCCAATGGCTCCGGAACTGATGGCCAGCTCAGCGACATGAAAAGCTGGCTCAAATCTCCAGTTCTCAGAGACAAACCATCTACGGCCCTGCGATGCTCTCGCCTCGAGGAGGCTTTCTGCTTGACTGACATTCGGGGCAACAGGCTTTTCTGACACGACTGCCAAGCCTGCTGCCAAAGCCGCCTCGACGAAAGAAGGCTGTGCAGCAATTGGCAGGACGACATCCACCAATTCCAGTGCTAGCTTGCCTGTGAGGATCTCACTCCAGCCCCGATCTCCCCACAAAGGCACTGGAGGAATTATATGACCATGCCTGGCTGCCAGGCCAGACAGATCTTTCGCCGATGATTCTGATTTGCTCCACACTGCCCTCAAATCGAAGCAGTCTTTGTTGTCCAGGATCAAAGACGGGAGGTGTGCCTTTTTAGCGAAGTGGCCGGCACCAACCAATGCAACTGCAACCCGACGCTTACAGCCCTTTCTGAACTGTGAAGAGATCTGCCCCGAGAAGCAAGCAAGGTCGCTGGAGGGGCACAGCTGTTGGGTTGCATTTCCTCGATGGCTGAGGAGTGCAAGTGTGATGACAGTGCCAGCACGGCACACACTTTGATGCAACATGCTGGGGGGTGTAGCCTTGAAGGAAAAGGTGCTTTGCCAAACAGCTGCCGTCATGCTAAATATTACCTGCAGGCTGAACTGCTGAACCAGGACGCCACCAAGGGCCTCTCTTCGCCCTCAGCTCGAGCATGTCCAGACTCGGTCTTTGCCTCCAAGCCCACACAGACTCCCAAAGACAGAGCCAGTCTCAAGCGACGGGTCCAGCCTTATCTAGGTCTTTCCGCAAGGAGGAGATTCCCTTCCCAGCCACGACCCCATTCTGTCTTCGCAAATACAAGACTGAAAAGATGAGGAGAGAAACACAATGATGCAACATGGCTGAATGCTTTCCCAAGCGTTCTCGGCCTGGGACTGCTTGAACATGTGTGCCTCTGACTCCTTCAACGTGTCCTGCGTCAGTGATTGCCAGTGACTGCCACTCTTATCAGGGTTTTCGAAAACGAAAAAGTGGCACGGCAGGCCTGAAGCTCGGCTATGCGACCCTTGAGAAAGTCGGCCTCCGTATTCAAGCCAGCGACCTGCCATCACTCAAATCTTGCGTATGAACCTTGCGAGCTTCATCTAATAACCTCGCTATGTAGCTACTTCACTATCCCACCTTCCCTTCAAGGGTACCGATGTGGCGGACATGTTCCAGAAGCTGGCCCCTAGTACCTCACAAATCAAAGGTCTTTCATCAACGATTGGCCCTACAGCACCTTGCCTTCCTTACTCTCCGAGTGCTGCTTGCGCTCTTCTTCAAGCTCTTGCCGCACACCTTGTCGATAAGGCAGAACCTACAACACAAAGATCGCACGGTCTGCTGGTTCCCGTGAGTTGCTGGCAGGCCAGCAGTTGCTGGTGCTCTGTGCGATTGGAATCATGAGCTTCTGTCAGAGCCTTTCTCTCTGCATGCAACTGCACGTGCAGGTCCTGCTTGGCAGTTGCAAGAAAAGTGAAACCACATGCAGCAACTCTCCTAAACGATGCCACGTGAAGATCCTGGATCTTCTCCTGGTGCTTCTCTCGGTGTGACTCCCTCTCGCGCTTGAGCCTCGAAGGAGTCTTGGGCCGATGTCAAATGTGCATAACACACCCTCTGCCGGCTGCAGCCGAGGATCTCCTCTCGCTCTGCTCTTAGCTGCTCCTTTGCTCGCTGGAGTTCCACCTGCGCTTCGCGAAGCTCCTGTTGGGGCGATGCCTTTTTTGGCTCCAAAGGTATGCAAACACCAGGAGTGCCATTCCTCAACACAAGATGACAGTGAAGGGGGGGGTTCCAGAAAAATGAGTAGTTGGTGTTCGGGGCCGTTCCAGGGGAATCGGAATGAGTACATTAGTTGGAGTTCGGGGGTGTGGGTCTTGTGCCGCTGTGTGAGACGCAAGGGAATCACACAGCACGAGCATGAGATGAAAGATGTCCCCACTCCTCAGCCAACCGCTTGCACGACGGCCCCGGGTGCAACGAGGGTGGAGACAACAGGTACTGTTATGCGGGCTCCGCACGCCGCCCCCCGCAGGCCCTGCTATTCCTTTGCAAATGCCTTGCGAAACTGTGTTCGTGACCGGCATGTTCAGGCGTTCACACCCACTCCCACACCCAAACAAAGAGTCCTCTTGAAGCTGCAGGTTCTGTCTGCCAGCAGCCTGAGCATGGGGCAGCCGCAGCAGCAAGAGTGCGCCAAGAGTGTCGCTTGCAGACTTCTGGCCTCAGCAGCTGCCTCGTTGCATCGCTGGCTGGCGAGCCGCTCCGCCGATGCCTTCGGTCGCTTCAGTCGGTTTCGTTCCCTCCGCTTTCTGCTTTGACTTTTCTCACTTTCAACAGGGCCTTCGAGGCCATGGCCCGAGCAGCCTCGGGCGAGTTCACAGTTCGCCAGAGCGTTTGGATTGTCGCTTCGTCAGTGCCTCCAACTCCTGCTGCAAACTTTGCTCCTTCTCCTGGCTGCTTCGGTTCAGAACCTGTCACCGTGCGCCAAAAGTATGTTGACTCGCTCTCCTGACTCTTGTTCTGGCCCGTCTTGGCCTGCAGCTCCGTCTCTCGAGCACGAGCCTGGTAAATGATTTATCAGGCATGTTGTAATGTGCATGCGTGTTCATTATGCGTGCTTGTATGTAACTGTATGTATGATATCATGTATTCACATCTACGCAGCTGTGGCAATGTGCCTCCTCAAGCTCCTCTTGAGCCGACTGCAGCTGCTGCTGCCCATCCTCGTGTTCGGCCACCTTCCCCTGGCGAGACACCAGGCCCTGAAGAGCAACGTCGCAGGCTACGGAAAGCGCGGATGCGCAGAAGATACTGTCATGATCTGGAGCAGACAGCACGCAAGGTTAGGATTCTTGATCAGCATGACGAAAGTCTTTGTCTGTTAGGAGCATGCAGAGGGCAGGTTCTCATCTGATCTCTACCTTCGAGTACTTGCTTATGGTAGTTACTCGATCCTGGAGAGGTGAGCTCTGGTGCTGGGAGTGCCGGGTCAGCATGGTCAGCATCGTGAGCATCGTTGGCGTAGTGGGTCCCTAGACTCGTGTGGTGTGCACCACGAAGTCCAACAGAACCTCTGCCTGGCCAGACGCACACCGCTGAAATGGGGCCTGTAGTTCTGCGAACGGAGATTCGTTGCCCACCACCTCCTACAGTATCATCCTTTGGTTTAGATGCACTGAAGCGCATCCACATGCAAGGCCGCCTGCAACTCCACTGTCTTTGCTTCCTTGCTTTGGCTCGCCTGTCGCCACCGATCTGCGGCCTGCATTCCCAGAGGTCGCACTGAATCTCAGATTGGCTCCTCCAGACTCCAGCCGAGCCTTCTTGATGGCAGCCTCCGGTGCGGGGAAACAGAAGCGTTCCGAAGAGCACAGCTGTGCTGCTGGGTTGCGCCTTCGTGGCCTCGAGCTCGGCACGAACGTTGCCTTCAAGTTTTGCTGCCTGCTCTCCCCAGGCAAGCGCCCGTCGCTGAGCTTCTGCCGATTGCTCGACCTCGAAGGCTGTCTTTTGCGACAGGAATGCCGAAAGAGCAACCGGTCGTTCGTTCTTGCTTCTAGATGTTAGGCTCTCACAGTGGCGACCACAGCTGTGCGGGCTCCCGCGACTCGTCTTGCAGCAGCCTCGCCGAGATTCGCCGAGGCCGTGAGGTGTCGCTGCGGTCTGCTCTGCTCCCACCTCGATGGCTGCACGCCCTGCTCGAGCCACGGTCGTCGTAGGCAAGTGTTCCTTGGATCTCAAAAAAACCTCCCATGGGACCCATGCAGACCCATGCAGACCCATGCAGCAATGCATGTGCTTCTTCTCTTCAAGCGTTGAGCGTCCAAAAGCTTTCCCAAATCTGCCGAGATCTTTTCGCCTGGGCGAGGCGGAGAGGCGGAAAGTTGGAGAGCTTTCTCGCTTCGCTCGCCTTCCTCGATGGTGCCTTCGGAGTTATCAAGCCAGTCCTGCGCCGAAAGGAGCAGCGCATGGTAGCCGACAACCGAGAGTTGCTGCATTGCTGCGCGAAGTCTGGGCCGCGCCTGCCAAAGCTTTAAGCTTTGCGAGAGCTGTTGATCTGCAAGGCGGCCGTTCTGCTGCCGCACTTGCAACTCCTTCACCAGGGAGAGGTGCTTTCACAGATTCAACTAATGGCCACTAGCGACAGCAAGGCGCTCGCGCCTCGCGGGCCAACGTCTCCTTCAGCTCTTGCCAATACTCTTTTCGCACCTCCTCGTCTCCTCAGCAAGAATCTGCTCGAAGAAGCTCCCAGCGGCTACATGTCCCGGAAGTCCCAATGATCCATGTCTTGACCGTCAGAGCACTTGGGGTCTAGCCGACTGCTTGTTCTTCCCATCGGTCCTTCAGCCTTGATTTCATGCACATGTCCAGCCAGCTCTCTGCCCAAACGTTTGGAGCAATCAGTCGAGCGACTCATGGCGCTGATTTCGGAAGAAGGCCCTGAGTGCTTCATCCGTCATCGGCAGCTGTGTTCCATCAGGCAAGGCCTGCCAAGAGAAAGGATCGCTGAGTGCAAGGCAGCATGAGACCGCACAATCTGCCCCGAAATGGAGGTTCTTTTTTGGGCGTCGCGCTGGCAGGAGCTCGTCGTGGTTGACGTCGGAGCAACATTTTACAGTAGTCGTCGCAGCAGCAGTAGTAGTTGTAGCAGAAGTCGTGGTGGTAGTGGTGGTGGTGGTGGTGGTGGTGGTGGTGGTGGTGGTGGTGGTGCTGGTGGTGGTGCTGGTGGTGGTGGTGGTGGTGGTGGTTTTTAGTAGTAGTAGTAGTAGTAGTAGTAGTAGTAGTAGTAGTAGTAGTAGAAGTAGTAGTAGTAGTAGTAGTAGTAGTAGTAGTAGTAGTAGTAGTAGTGGTAGTGGTAGTGGTAGTGGTAGTGGTAGTGGTAGTGGTAGTGGTAGTGGTAGTGGTAGTGGTAGTGGTAGTGGTAGTGGTGGTAGTAGTAGTAGTAGTAGTAGTAGTAAGAGTACTTGTTGTTGTTGTAGTAGTAGGAGTAAGAGTAGCGGTAGCGATGGCGGTAGCGGTAGGGGTGGTGGTAGTGGTAGCCGTCGTAGTAGTACTAGAAGCAGAGCAGCGGCCATCGCAGCCATATCAGCAGCAGCGTCACAGTCGCAGTCGCAGTGTCAGTAGCAGTTGTTGATGTAGTGGTCGTCCTCCTCGTGCTCGTCGTTCAGTTTTTGTGTCGGGTATCTACTTGGTTTTCGGTGGTCGTTTCTTTCAATCCTGCCTTCCGCCTCTATACTCAGAGCCAAATGGCCCTTCCATGCTCCATGCTTTTCCGTGCTCCGGCCTGTCCAGATTTCAGGAGTTTCAGCTTCTGCGAAGCGATTCCACGAAGCTCGTCAGCAAGACCGCCACAAGTGGTGTGTTGCACCTTGGCTCCGTGGATCTATCAATTCGCGCTAGGTTAGTGTGCCGTACCAGCACTTTGCCGCAAAGACTGAGCGCCCATCGGCGTCCCATGCACCCTTCACGCTCAGCTGCTTGGACTCATTCATTGCTTCCACCAAGTGCTTCGACAAAGCCTCGGCATGCGCCCAAGCGGCGAGAGCGAATGTGCACACCAAGCCTCAAATGCCAAGCGTTGGGCCGCAAAGGAGGCACAGCCAAGCGACTGCCCACCCACCATCTTGGGATGCCTCTCCAGACAGAATTAAGCCCAACAGCCTGCGACAACAGATCTGGCTCAACTGCAAGGAAATCAGTTCCTTCGGTACAGCTTTGTAATAACTGCCCGTTGCGCCCATGGCCCCAGTCGGGTCTGACTAGAAAGGCTGCAGGATCCATCCGTTGTACGGGGTCGGATTCTTTCAGGAAGCGAAAATATCATAAAGTCAATGATTGCCCTAGGGCACTAATTGTCGGCATGGAAGCTTGTCGTTGCATTCCCCCGTTCTAGGTCTCCTCAGAAAATCAATCAGTGGGCGCTGCGTGCTGCGGAGCCACCGTTCAGGGTGAATGGGGAGTACGACAGTCTGCGTTCGGCAACAGCGGCCATGTCCCTCTAGGGCCAGGGTTTGAGACCACAGTCGTGCAACACATAGATTGCCCGAGAGTCAAGCGCTACGACACGCTCAAGACTTGAGAAGCTCACGGAAGCGAGGCAGAAGTAGCCAGAAAATGTTGATTGATCCACCCCTGAATTTTCACGGGGTGCAGGATGTTCCTCCCTGCTCGTCAGTGATTCATCCATGTTTTCGACTCTGCTCTCCACGTTCCAACACGTGGATATGAAAAAGCTTCAACAGTCTGCGGTGATGGTGTGGTGACAGGCTCCACATCTCAGTGCAGTTGAGCAGCGAGTGACAGATCGCAACAAGCTGTGCCAACATGGCCTTGGAGCAGAGACGTCTTCTGCTATAGCAAAGCCGAAGCCTTCCAAGATGGCCTCCACACCAGCTCGAAACTCGCTGCTCACTGACCTGAACATGATAGAAGTTGTAAATATATGTTTAGAATGCCATGCCCTGCAGTTTTGCCATACAAGTATCATGCAGTCTGAGCATGCTGCGGATATGGTATATCCTGAAGCTTTTGCGGGTCATTCTCAGCACCTGCTGGCTGGACCAACGTGGTACAACTCCTCGGCATCTCGCGGAACAACAATGTGTTGGACGTAGTTCAATCCAGCACATGCAGCAGGTCCTGTGATTGAAGAACTGGAGCAGGTTCTGGCGCACCTTGCTTGCCATCGACACTCAGAGCAAGATGTTGATACAGAAAATGCATTGTTCGAGAACCGGAACCCGGAACAACCTCTACATACCTCTACACTTCATGTCTGACTGCACTTCGTTTGCGCAAGTCAAGATATTCTCGCATCCCTTACTTCAGAGCTCCGCTGGGCGGGCCTCTTTGCCAGCCCCACGTGCATCTGCAGCATGCAGAGCTTGTTCCAGGTATTCCTTTGCCGGCAGCCAAGAAACGTCTTCAAGCAGCCATAGCATCATGCTTCTGCAGGTGAGGAGCATCCGAGCTCATAGTATGACCAGCAGCATCGCGAAGCTCTAGCGCAAAGTCCCTCAGCCTTAGGCTGGTGGCAACTTTCCATCCAAGTTGCTCGCAAATGGTTCGTTCTGAAGGCTCCGGCACCCACAGCAGAGCTGGGCGACTCACCTCCTGCTCGTGAGAGAAGAGCAGAAAGCATAAGCCTTCTGCCTTCTCAAGTCACCGGCCACAACACAAGGCCCAAGGCTTTCCCTGTCTCCTGACCGCGTTCTTCCATGTGCTCAGCCTGTTGCTACACAGCGACTTACAGCCTGGTGCCATCGCCCAGTCATAGCATACAGCAGTACACTTCTGACCTCTATCAATCCCCAAGTAAGGTCTCAGCAAAACGGCAAATCTGCGCGAGCGAGCTGAAGACCTAGCAGCTATTAGCAGCTTAGAACTTAAGCTTCCGTTGTGATCGGAAGGTCCGCGATCGACCCAGGAGTCCTTGCAATCGAGCTGCGCTGTCGTGCAGCGTTCCCTTTGTGTTCAGGACAAGGACGGAGGACAGCAAGGCGCACAAGGACATCATCTGAGCATCACCTCACGTCAAGATCAAGGCTGGCCGTAAAGGTCGCGTCACTCAAATGGCACACTGTGCCTGGCCAAATGCAGACAGAAAAGCCGTGTGGAGTCTAGAAGTTATAAGCGTGCACCAAATGTGACAGCAGTGCCGATCGATGTTGATGGACCACCCATTGATTAATGCATTCATGCATTCACACCCGGCTGGCAAAGCCGTGGAGCTGACAGCTGAATCACAACAAAAGCCTGTGATGCTCAGTCTCAGTCTCTCCATGCTGGGCGAATGACCCTAGCTTCTAGTGTCTTGTCTCTTCTTGGGCGTGAAGTAGGTCTGGTGTGGTCCGGTACCCGTTCCGGCCCCCTGCTCGCGGAACACGAGGCTTCCTTTCTTCAGAGGCTGCGTTGCGGTTCATGTTCAACCACGGAAGGATGGCATGGGTGGCTCAATATTTCCACAGCACTCAGCAATGGGGCATTGCCTTGTACAGAAGCTGCAGCAGCTGGGTCACGGACGGTCGGAGTCGTTGCCGAAACCCTCGCCTCGGTTCGCTCGCAGCATTTCGGTGTAGACTCCTACACTCCTACATGCCTCGAATCAGGAGCCGGCAATCTAGGAAGGCCATCACAGGGGCATGCTCCTCTTCAGGGTCCTGTCGTCTGAGACTCCGAGAGAGTATGGACCAAGAAGGCGGAGAGTGAGTCCTGGTAACTCCAAAGCCAAAGCCCGGCGGTGCCGTCACCCGACCCGGACCCGACCTGGCATGCCGCAGGCTGTCTGGCCGCCTGCTGGCCGCAACCTCCGAAGCCTTGAACTTGGGCGCATTGTTCATCCCGTCAAGGAGGGCATTCAGAAGGTAGCCTCGACACCACATACCAAACAAGAAGACTCCTCCGACTTCGATGCTGAGTCTGGCTGAGTCTCTCTTTCCGGTGCCGCGCATCCCGCAGATCGACACCACTGCAATGCCTGTACAAGCACCAAGGGGCTTCTGACGACGAAGCACTTTATGACTTTATGTGCTTTGGAAGCGCCAGCGCAGCAAGCCGGGCATCCGGGGCCGGTACGTTTTTCACCGAAAGCTTCCAAGGCCTGGGCTCCCTCGCTACACACCTCGTACTGCCACCTGCGACGCTCCGTCACTCTGTCATCGTCATGCGGAAAACGTAGCTTTAGTGTTGGGCCTACTGCCGGCCCGCTGCACTCGCAGGAGTTGTACCGGCTCCAATGCTTGCACCTTCGTTCCGCACCACCAGCTGTGGCGATGCCAGGGCCAGGGCCGCTCTCAGAGAAGCCCGGCCTGGCAAAGATTGAAGATGGTGCTGGCCTGCACGAGAGGGCATCATCGATACTACTAGTCGACCTCCCGCTCTGTTCATGTGCTCGGCCTGCCGTAAACCTCAAACAGCCGGGACTCGCATTCTTGCCCTGTCTGGGGACTCTTTTCTGGCGCACTGCAAGCAAGGGGCGAGTGGGCTTCTGGAGTTTTTGCAGCGGGCTTCGGACCAAGTCATTGTCACGCTGGGCCCGCACTCGCTCCTCTTGAAGCCCACTTTCCAAGCTCAGAAACATGTGCACGGAAGCATGCGCTTGGAAGCCACAGCCCGGTCTCCGGTGGTACATCTGGCTTGCAATCCAAGTTGTAGGTGCCGTTGGGATTGATGCTCAGGACCTGCTGCTGAGTAACGCCAGGCGGACAAGTTGAGATCCGACGCAGCATACCAAGCCGATCTACATGAGTGCAGCGTCCAAGCAACTTTTGCCAATATCCAGTCGCTCTGCGATGCACTAAAATACCTGAACCGAGCAAAAACGCACAAGTGGTCTAGCACAACGTCCTCACACCACCCTCTACACCTGGATGGCTACTGCGACTGCCTCTCGTCTTGCGATTACGCAGTTCCCCTGGGACTACGTCGGAAATGGACCGCGTACGGAACCTTTAATTAGACAAGCCCTAAGAAGTCAAGAATGAATGTGGCTAGATGTAAGCTCAAGCAAGATTCATCACTTTGAGACACTGTAGGCCAGCTGGGACTAAGCCATGAATCAGCTAGCTGAACTACCATCATTTTCCGACTCGGCGCCCATGGTGGTGTCTTTCCAACACACCCTCTTGGAGCTGTCCTAATCAAGTTTTGCTGTCACCTGGGCAGACCGAGCTCGCGCTTCTCCGAGAGAACACAGTCGGACCCCAGGTTCGGGCATAGCAGCAAAGACCCCACACAACAACAACAGAGCAGCGGCACATGCCACCGGCCACAGCTGATCCGGTCTACGGCGTTGGTCTGGCCGACTGGCAGACCGTAACCGTAATCAATTGGTGGCATGCAGTTCCGTGACGTCACGTGCAGCCAAGATGCTCCACGACCTCTCCCGGCTCGAACTCCAAGACTCCCGAAGCTGAAAGTCTGCCTCCGCAACCCGTACACCCCAACTCCCCCCTCTGCACCATAAAAAAGCCTCATTCTCTGCCACAAAGCTCCAGATGCAGGTGGACTGCTGTCTCTCGCCGCCGCGCAGGATCGTATCTTCTGTCGGGGCACACCAGGCTTGCCTCGGATCAGAGCTCAGCCGCAGCGCAGCTCCAGCAAGAGCCTCAAAGCACCCCACGCGTCTGTTGCTGCGTTGCAGCGAGGCTACAGTCCAGATCGTAGGTCCCCTTTGCATTCACGGCCACGACCTGGACAGATGGAGCTCCAGCTCTGAGTTGCCATAAAGGGGCCTCTTCTTCATGCTCTCAGCCTTGGCGGGGATCCACGAACCCTGAGATGCGCTGTAGTACTCCACAACCTCACCTAGCTTGAAGGCCTGCGCAAAATTCTTCGCGACGGCTTTTGGAAGCAATGCATTTACAATTACACATCCCTGCCTCCGATGAGTCACCGTCAGGCCTCAAGTGAAATGCTGCACTTTCACGACGCCTGGCCCACTAGTGCCTGTTTGCAGCCTCGACATGATAAGTCAACACCCATTATGCCACGACTCCGTAACGATCAGACACCGTCGCTCACCAGTCTTGCATGTCGGATCCGTCTGACCAGCTGGAAGTTGGTAGGCGTGCACCCGACCCTGATCCGCCACGGTCCTCCCCGGTCCTACACACTCCAAGTCTCCAAGTCGATCCCAACAGATATCAACGTTTCCTGCTTGGGCTTTCCCCCGCACCCGGTCTCGACACACAGCTAGCTTCGGGGCCGAATCCAACCTTCTTTTGGCGCCTAGAATGCGGCCCGAATAGTTGGTGGTATGATATGAGGGTCCGCCCGAGGCTGCCAACACTAGAACAAGGTAGAAGTTGTAGAAGCTTCCATTTTCAGATGAGCCCTCTCTCCCACGCAGAGCTGATCTCTCAGCCATTTCACTGAGTACCTGTATAACACCAACCATAAATGATGCTCATGTTCAGCAGGAGCCATGTGACTGATGATCGTGATGGTTATGAAGCTATGATGTAGCAGTAGCAGTAGTATCATTGCCCTTTTGCGCCGAACCAGAACCACAAGGTTTAGATCCACAGGGCTTTTTCGACAGAGTTGGCTTTTAACGACTTTGAAAAACTTTAAAATACAAAAAACAACTTTTACAGACCTTTAACAACTTTAAAAGACTTTTAAAGGCTTTAAAAGACTTTTAAGAACTTTACGAAACTTTTAAAAACTTTGAAAGACGTTTAAAAACTTTAAAAGACTTTTAACAGCTTTACAAGACTTTTAAAAACTTTAAAAGACTTTTAAAAGCTTTAAAAGACTTTTGAAAACTGTAAAAAACTTTTAAAAGCTTTAAAAGGACTTTTAAAAATTTTTAAAAACTTTTAAAAACTTTTAAAGACAAAAAATACCATTCTTTAACTTTTTTAATTTTTTTCCAAGAAGACGCGGATGAAGAAGATCTGGCACAGGGTTTAAAGTTTCAGGGTCTTTTGGGGTTTGGAGTTAGAAGGCAGAGTGCCATAGTATTAGGGTTTGAGGGTAATGAGAGGGTTAGCGTTAGAGTTTCAGGGCTTTAGGGTGTAGGGTTAGAAGGCAGAGTGCCATGGTATATGGTTGAAGGCTAATGGCTGAAAGGCAATTTCCCGAAGTCTTCAACATGAATGGGCTTCAATTTTGGTAGTTATCTTGGAATGATCGTGGCTTGGCTTCGGGCTTTTGGTCGTGCCCAAACCCCCGCTCAACAGCTCCAGGTACTCCCACACCCTCGTACTGTACCACTACTGTACAACTACTTTAACACTACTGTACTACCACTTTACTACTACCCTCTTACAAGTATACTTCTGTACTACTATCGCACCGCTACTGTACTACGACGGTACTACTATTGTACTACTGTACTACTACCGTGCTAGTACTTGTACTACTACTGCACGACACACCACTGCACCGCACCAGGCCTCAGACGTGGTCGATTGTGGAGGGGAGTGTAGGTTGGAGGCAAACGTCTTCAGAGTGAAAGGTTTGCAGTTTTGGTAGTTCTCGTTGAGTGACCGTGGCTTGGCTTCGACTTTTGGTCGTCCCCAAACCTCGCTAGACAGCTCCAAGTACCCCTAAACCCTCGTACTGCACTGTATCTACTACTGTACGACTGTCGTACTACAGTACTACTATTGTACTACTCTACCCTGTTGTACTTCTACTGTACCGTACCAGGCCTCAGACGTGGTCGATTGTGGAGGGGAGTGTAGGTTGGAGGCACAAGTCTTCAAAATGAAAGGTTTTCAGTGTTGGTAGTATCTTGGAGTGATCGGGGCTTTTGGTTTCCAGCCTTTGGTGATCCCCCCAAACCGTTAAACAGCTCCAAGTACACTTAAAAACCTCGTACCGTGCTACTACTGTACTACTACTGCATTACTACTGTACTATTACATGCATTACTACTGGACTATTACATGTACTCACCTGTGCATCATCGAGCTTCTTTTTGTATCTCTGCTACCTGTAATGTGGCGGCCGTTTAATAGCCACCCCCCCTCGACCAAAGGTTTTTGGTTTGAATACTCTGGTGTCCGTGACCCCCTGGACCGGGGTTCGGCTGGCTGAGGGTCTGAATGGCTTTGGATAAGTTAGAAGGGAAATGGGGGGTCGCATGGTCGGTTTGAAACCTGCGCGAACGCTGCAATCGGGGGGCTTGGGGATCACCAAAAACTTGAAACCAAGCCCCGATCACTCCAAGATAACTACCAACACTAAAAACTTATCATTTTGAAGACTTTTGCCTCCAACCTAACCACCCCCACGATCGACCAAGTTTGAGGCCTGGTACGGTACAGTGGCGTGTAGTACAGAGTACAGTAGTACAGTAGCATAGTAGTACATTGGTGCAATGGTAGTACAGTAGTACAGTACAAGCACAGTAGTGTGTTTCATCGACTCAAGCAGGGAGCGCCCCTGTAAACTTTGCTTTGTGTGGGTGCTTTGTCTTTGCTCTTTAAAGGTTTTGCTGTTTGCTGTCATATCTGGTATCTATATGTGCTTATAGGGTCATGGCTGTGAGTTTGGCGCGGGGGCGAGGCTGGCCTGGGAGGTGGGCTGATAAGGCGCAAGGGCGAGGGCTGGGGACCGGGCTCGGGACTTCATAATTTTTGAAGACGAATTAAGATTTAATGAGATTTATAGTTAGATGTAGTAAGATTTTATTTGGGTTGTTTTCCTTTCTAACACTGATAAGATTTAATACAATCTCCCTGCAAAGAGAATCTCGATCTATCTATCCAAGAAAAGATGCTTCCACGGAGGGGGGTCACTCGGGGGGGTCTCCCCCCCGTCGCCCCCTGGGGGGCCTTGAGGGGAAGGGGGGAGCTCGAGGGGGGCAAGCCCTCGATCCAGGGGGTGCGGGGGGCGGGAGCCCCCCGCGAAACGGTGGCGAATATTTGCGATTTTCCAAGGAAAAGTCATAAATTCGCAACAAGGCAAAACCACAAAGTTTGGATCAACAGGGCTTAGCAATAAGATTCAATAAGATTTAATAAGATTCAATAAGATTCAATAAGATTTAATAAGATTTAATAAGATTTAATAAGATTTAATAAGATTCAATAAGATTCAATAAGATTCAATAAGATTTTTCCGGGGCGTGCCACAATTGTACAAATGTCTTCTAAGATTCAATAAGATTCAATAAGATTTTTTGGGGCGGTGTGGAGTCGTGTCCCTTTTAAAAATGATGAACCAATATTCAATAAGATTTAATAAGATTCAATAAGATCCAATAAGATTCAATAAGATTCAATAAGATTTAATAAGATTTTTCCGGGGCGTGCCACAAGTGCCACAAATGTCTTCTAAGATTTTGCCGGGCCGATCTTCCAGAAAAGGCTTCATGATAAAATGCTGCTGGGGCTGCTGGGGCCGCTGGGGCGGCTGGGGCTGCTGGGCCTGCTGGGGCGGTTCGGGCTGGGTGAAGGCAGGGAGAAAAGGGGTTGGGGGAGGGTGTAGTGAAGGAGAGGAGGGCCCGCCCCACCCGCCAGTCCCCCAGCCCACGCCCAGCCTTCCCTGCGAGCAGCGACCGAGCAGAAAGCCTGTAAATACCGCGTTAAAACAACGGCCAGGGATCCCACACATCTGCGGGCAAAATCTGGCGGAAGTGATCCGCCACCGAGCAAAAAGCCTGTAAATACCGCATTAAACAAAGGGCCAGGGATTTCACACATTTGTTGGCAAAATCTGGCGGAAGTGAGCAGCACTCACTTCCGCCAGATTTTGCCAACAGATGTGTGAAATCCCTGGCCCTTTGTTTAATGCGGTATTTACAGGCTTTTTGCTCGGTGGCGGATCACTTCCGCCAGATTTTGCCCGCAGATGTGTGGGATCCCTGGCCGTTGTTTTAGCGCGGTATTTACAGGCTTTCTGCTCGGTGGCGGCTCACTTCCACCAGATTTTGCCAACAGATGCGGTGGTGGGCTGGGGTTGGGGGCTGGGGCCCGCAAGGGGTGTCCGATTAGGTTTTGAAGAAACGCGGATCCCAAAATCACGGATCGCAAAGAGTGTCTCCCTGCAGGTTGTATTAAAACATAGGTTCCCAAATCATGAACCGCAAGGGCTCCCCCTACGGCTGTCCAAAAACTCGCAGCTCGCAAGGGGTGTCCGGTGCCTGTCCCCATACCAAAATCATCAAATCGCAATGGGTGTCCCCCGAAAGTAGGGGGTTGGGTCGGGTGGGGGGGGGGGTCGGCTGGGGTGGGGCTGGGCTGGCTGGGGCTGACGATGCGGCATCTTGGAATTGGGCTGGGCTGGGGGGGATGGCCAGTCCCCGGCTCAATCACCCCAGTGTGGATTGCTTTTCACTTTTCCTAAATTTGGGCTCTCCTTTTTTGAAAAAACATTACCGAAACAAACTTGACCAGACTGAGCCAGGTGTTCTATATCTTGTCTTGCTTCCAAGCAGGAGGCGACGTTGTGATTCGCCTTTTTTGTGAAGAAGTTTTGAGCCAAGACACACAACAACAGACTTGCACAAAACAGTCACCAAGCAAACACAAACAAGTAGCAACATGCCAAACGCATGCGAATACTGAAATTGACTAGTAGCATCACCCCCTAATACAGGTTAATGTGAGGGTCCTTCTGGTCCGGTGTGCCTAGTTGATGCGTGTTTCCTGTGCTTATTCGGGCTGTATCAAAAAAAATGGTGGCCTAATTAATGATTAGTGCGTTCTTTTTTGGGCCGACTGA